ACATTTACTATTACATACACATTATGTGTCTTCACTATGTTCCTGGAGCCACTACTCTGCTCCCTTCTAGGAGTTCTACTGCCATTCTTGGGTCACTGGGCAAGGACATAGTCATCTGAAGTATATACATTATTAAGGGAATTATTTCAGGTTGAGTTGACCTAGTTGGCACTTTTATTATTACATGTATCTTTACTATTACATACACATTATGTGTCTTCACTGTGTTCTTGGATCCACTACTCTGCTCTCTTCTAGATCTATTGCCATTCTTGGATTATTGGACAGGGACATAGTCATCTGAAGTATATACATTATTAAGAATTCATTTCAGGTTGAGTTGCCCTATTTAGTTGGTGCTTTTATTATTACATGTGTACATTTACTATTACATATACATTATGTGTCTTCACTATGTTCCTGGAGCCACTACTCTGCTCTCTTCTAGGAGATCTACTGCTATTCTTGGGTCATTGGGCAAGGACATAGTCATCTGGAGTATATACATTATTAAGGGAATTAATTTCAGGTTGAGTTGACCTAGTTGGCATTGTTATTATTACATGTACAGTATACATTTACTATTACATACACATTATGTGTCTTCACTGTGTTCTTGGATCCACTACTCTGCTCTCTTCTAGATCTATTGCCATTCTTGGATTATTGGACAGGGACATTGTCATCTAAAGCAGGGGCGGACTGACCGTTTTGGAAACTTGGGCACTGCCCGAGGGCCCGGGGTCAGTAGGGGGCCCCAGGAGATGCCCCGGTACCTTTTTCATAGGATTTTTTGAGTTTGGGCAAGGACACAGGGGCCCCATGATCCCCTATTGCCCGGGGGCCCCATGAGTTGTCAGTCCGCCCCTGATCTGAAGTATATACATTATTAAGTGAATTAATTTCAGGTTGAGTTGACCTATTTAGTTGGTGCTTTTATTATTATGTACAAATTATTTGACTTCACAGTAATCCTGGATCTATTATTCTGCTCTCTCTTCTACATCTACTGTTATTATAGGTTATTGGATAGGGACATAGTCATCTGAAGTACATACATTAGTTATTTGAATTCATTTCACATTAAGGTGACCTAGCTGGTGCTTTTATTATTACATGTATACATTTACTACTACATACAAATTTTTTTGCCTTCACTATGTTCCTGGATGCAATACTCTGCTCTCTGTTTTAGAAGATCTACTGCCATTCTTAGGTTATTGGACAGGGACATAATCATCTGAAGTACATACATTAGTTAAGTGGATTCAGTTCATGTTGAGTTGCCATATTTAGCTGTTGCTTTTATTATTACATGTTTACATTTACTACGTGCAAATTATTTGTCTTCACTGTGTTCCTGGATCCACTACTCTGCTCTCTGTTGCCATTCTTGGGTTATTATACAGGGACATAGTCATCTGAAGTACATACATTAGTTAGGTGAATTAATTACATGTTGAGTTGCCCTATTTAGTTGGTGCTTTTATTATTACATGTATACATTTACTATTACATACACATTATTTGTCTTCACTATGTTCCTGGATGCAGTACTCTGCTCTTTCTTCTAGGAGGTTTACTGTCATTATAGGTTATTGGACAGGGACATAGTCACGTGTTACAGATTGCTGTTTGTTATTACATTTTTAGTTAAAGCAACATTATTATTAAAAAAAGTAATATATTGCAGCTTACAAGTTCTTAGATGTAGTGGCTCCTTTTCTTTTGTAGTCTTCTTTCCTTTTTCACTGAGTGATCCTGCCAGTAAGTCTGTTATTTTTCAACTTCCTTTAACAGACCAAGCTGTCCAGCAAATGAAGCAGTTAGGGGGTTGAGACAAACCAATTACCATGGGGTGATTGCAATGATCAGCTTTAAAGTGTTACTAAACCCACAACAGTAAAGTCAGTCTGTATATGCAGTATTGCATGCTTGTTATACTCACTGTGGAACCTAAGGTGTTAATCCTTTGCATTGTGCAAAAAAGGATGTTTGATCCTGTCTTCTCTGATTCTCCCCTTCTTCTACTGTCCCCAATCCATCTGCTGTTAATGCAGCGCTCTGGGGGTAATCTGTACATGCTTTGTTTAGTGTGAATGGCTAGAGAGTTTTGGTTTTCTTTGGGAGGGTGCATGTGATCAGCACAGGCCATTCAGCACTGTCCAGACAGAGGCTCAGGGATTATGCAGCCTCATAGGACAGTTGAGGGTAGAATGAAAACTCATCCTATAAGCTTTACCAGTGCTCAGCTGGACACTGATATAAGTCACAAGACTGCTATATACTGCTGATGAGAAAAGGGACTTACAGTTTATATCTACTAAAATAATTGCACTTCCATGTTCTGTGTACTATGGGAGACTGGATATAGTGAATGCAGGGTCCTGGGTTTAGTAACCCTTTAGTCTATTTATGTAAAACCAAACTGTTGCTATAACTTAGCCTTTCTCAACCAGGGTTCCTCCTGAACATTCTAGAGGTTACATGAGCAGCAAACAATGTCTGCTTCTTAAATGAGCTCCCTCTGACACCAGTTATCTGTTTCGCTATCTGTAAAGGGGGATTCTAACTACTGGAGTGTAAAGAACACTCTTCCCACCGATCAATACACTAATGTACAAGGTGCTATGCACTGTAGATATAGTAATTATTAGCACAAGTTCCCTGAGACTGAAACATTATTTTAAGGGTTCCTATGTGAATAAAAGGTTGTAAAAAAAGTAATAGCTGGAGTTCAGCTTTAATTTGTTAGTCAAGTCCATCTTAGTCCCGGTGTCACTCGGATGTCTGTCTTAGGCTGCAGTGATTTGCATGACATGGAAAATAAAATGAATTCCTATGGAGGTCACTCACATCTATGCAGTCCACACACAGTGCATTTTGAAAACTGGTTGTGGTGTGATCCAAATTTGAGATCCATAGAGTTGTATGTAAATCGCATATGAAATGCTTATTTGTTCATATCACATGAGGTTCCAGCGGTTTTTTTCCAAATCTGGTGTGTTCCTGAGCTGTTCTGGAGAGGGAGATTTAATCCAAAATCACAACTATATGAAAGTCTCAGGAAAAACACATTGCAATCCAAGCTGAAATGCAGCTGAATCACACTTGAAAACTGAAGGGATTTGCATTGCTTCAGTGTGAAGCTAGCCTTAATCTGCTATTACATTATTATTATTATACAGGATTTATATAGCGCTAACAGTTTGCTCAGTGCTTTACAATATAACGGGAGACAATACAGCAATGATACAGTTCAATACAAGAGGATAGGAGGGCCCTGCTCCTTGGAGTTTACAATCTAGGAGATTATATCTAACACAACCCTCTCCTCAGACTGACAATGCTGCTGTCCAAAGGTGTCTCCGCTTGTTCCTCCATCCAAAGTGGAGACACACTAAAGTTGGCCATACACTGATACACTGCTGTATCAGGTGAGTTTCAAGCAGTGTGTGGGCTTCACTGCTTAAATGAAGTCAATTGTTTTTTCAACATTTGTCAAAGGGGAATGCTGGAAAATATCCCATCAGTCAGAAGTTGCAGCCAATGGTCAGTGTATTCCAGCAATGATGGGTGTTGCTGTAAAAAAAAGAATAAATAGCCCAAAAGAAAACAAATAATGCAGCCACCACATCTGAGGATTGGTACAATTAAATATATATATATTTTTTTTTTGGGGGGGATCACTTTTTTAAGTGACATAAATGAATGTTACGTTGACCTATATAGTTGTTGCTTGTATTATTTCATTTATACATTTACTATTATATACAAAGCACTTATTTGTGTTCACAATGATCCTAGATCCATTACTCTGCTCTGTGTTCCAGATTTACTGTCATTTTAGGTTGTTGGCCATAGCTATAGTCATTTGAAGATACAGATAGTTGTTTATTCATCTGATTGAGAATTTAGACCTGCCATTTTTACCCTAGAGCAACCCTTGAAATAAATTTCAGCTCTCAGAACACCTGATAAAAGCAATTCATCAGGGGTCAGTAGAAAAATCCTGTGTGTGACAAAGCACTTATTCATGGGAAACGTACCATCATGGTAGCCAGGATTTATTTTGGCCAGTCATCTTCCTGCTGTGGGCTCATGATGGCTGCTGTTGGCTTTCCTGCACTCCACTGAGGTCACGGTGCACCGTGACATCACTTCCAGTGCGCGTTTCTCAGTGACACCGAGGAGGCTTTCTGATCTCTCGAGTAGCATTTTATTAGACCATTGGTTTGTGGACACATTCCCCACCAATTGCTGCCATTTTACAACCTTGCCATCTGTGCAGTTTACCATCTAGGCTTCCCATAGCCATGTCTACATTCAAGTAAGCCGCATCCATCATTCCTTTCAGTATGTGACTTGTTCCAGTCCTTTTGTGCCATACTACCACATGGATTTTTTGGAATATGATGATTATGGTTTTATTGGTCTATTAAACATTTGAATCAGACATATTGACTGCTGGCTGTGTACATCATTTCATAATTATTCTGGCTTTCACCACGAGCGCTCTGATTTTTTGAATGGGTTGCCTTAACATACACTATATTGTCAAAAGTATTGGGATGCCTGCCTTTACACACACATGAACTTTAATAGCATCCCAGTCTTAGTCCGTAGATTTCAATATTGAGTTCACCCACCGTTTGCAGTCGGACTAGAAGGCCTGGCTCGCAGTCTCTGCTTTAATTCATCTCAGGGGTGTTTTATCAAGTTGAGGTCAGGACTCCGTGCAGGTCAGTCAAGTTCCTCCACCACGAACTTTACACTTGGCACAATGCAGTCAGGCAAGTACCATTCTCCTGGAAACCGCCAAACCCAGATACATCCATTGGATTGCCAGACAGAGAAGCATGATTTGTCACTCCAGAGAACACATCTCCACAGCTCTAGAGTCCAGTGGTGGCATGCTTTAGACCACTGCATCCGATGCTTTGCATTGTACTTGGTGATGTAAGACTTGGATGCAGCTGCTCGGCCATGGAAACCCGTTCCATGAAGCTCTCTATGCACTGCTGTTGTGCTAATCTGAAGGCCACATGAAGTTTGAAGGTCTTTAGCTATTGACTCTGCAGACAGTTGGCTTCTGTGCACTGTGCACTTTAGCATGCGCTGACTCCGCTCTGTCATTTTTCTACCACTTCATGGCTGTTGTTGCCAGTTGCTTCCACTTTGTTATAATCCCACTAACAGTTGACCGTGGAATATTTAATAGCAAGAAAATTTCATGGATGGACTTATTGCACAGGTGGCAACCTATCACGGTACTACAGTTGGTTTCACTGAGCTCCTGAGAGCGACCCATTCTTTCACAAATGTTTGTAGAAGCAGTCTGTATGCCTAGGTGCTTGACTTCATACACCTGTGGCCATGGAGGTGATTGGAAGACCTGAATCCAATGATTTGGAGGGGTGTTCAAATACTTTCGGCAATATATTGTAACATGTGTTAACACTGCAAGATTCCAGACCAGACTGGCTGATATGTCAATTTGACAGTGAGATCTGAAAACTAAGAACGTACACAGATGCACATTGAGTTTTCTGCTGTATTGTTATATTAGAACTGAAGGCATTTTTTTTTGTTTTCAAAATAGAGGGTAAGTTTTTTTTTTTTGTCATTTGTGTCACACTGGGGAGATTTACTTCCTGTTCTATAGTCATAAGAGGAAATCCCTTCAAAGTGATGGAATCCATGGTTGTCTCTAGAACTAGTGATCTCACTGCAAGATTTCCTCTCTATTTTTATGGCCACTCAAAATTTGGGATTTCCTTTCACTCTCAATGATAATGGTCACCAGGACCAATAGAGAGGGGATAAAGATAGCAATTAAAGTCTTTGTGAAAATAAAAAACATGTTATACTTACCTGCTCTGTGCAATAGTTTTGCACAGAGCAGCTCGGATCCTCCCTCCTGATGAGTGCCCCCATAGCAAGCTGCTTGCTATGGGGGCACTTGTGCATGCTCGCTCCCAAGCCTTGCTCTGTGTGTCTATGAGAAAAACAGAGCATGACTCAACCCCACCCCCCACTTCACTGGCTGTGATTGACTGCTGTCTCTCAGCCAATGAGGAGGGAGAGACCCAGGAGAGCTGCAGCTCACCTGTACAGCACTGGATCGGAATTGCGCCCAGGTGAGTATTAGGGAGGGCTGAGGGGGAAGCTGCGCACTGAAGGTTTTTACCTTCATACAGAGAATGCATGAAGGTAAAATGCCTTTAGAACCACTTTAAAGAAAACCACAGAAAGTTGTAAGAAGGTTTTATTGATAGTACAGATGGTTTGAACTTGGATTAGCCCCAATTAACCCCCTATTTCTCTCCCCCCCCCCCACCCTTCCCTCTTGGTTTTTTTTTGCCAATTTTTTTACTGTTGGTATTGGATATTTTATTCATTTCCATTCATTTCACCATGTTTGTTTTGTTGCATTATTTGAAGAAAAAAACCTAAACCTTTTCTAAAGACCTTAAACGTGCATTGTAACAAAAATGAAATTGTTTTGATGCGATAAGTGGGACAAACTGCAGGATAATATATACAATTTGTAGATGATAGTTTACTGATCTGAGTCTTTTCAAATAGATTTGTCAAGGATCTTTCAATCTGTAGAGCACACTCAGACAGTCCTACATGACTACAGTATTTTTGAGGGATAAAGTGATCAGACTAAATCACCTTGCTTACTTCCCCGGAGATAACCCACCATTTGCCTAATGCAGCTCTGCCTGCAGGCACTGTGAGATGGGAAAAATCAGCTTTAGAGTACTTGAATATTTATGTATTGTCTGGGAGCACTTATCCAGGAAAAAAAATCTCCAGGAAAATGTATGGAAAGATTCTATAGTGCAAATGTCCTTTGGATGTTATGAAATCATTATTCTATCTGAAGTTGTTGCGTAACAGCTGAAACTTGAAATTGGTCATGTATTGGCAGTGTCTGTTTTGTATGCGGTTGGAAAGTAAAGGTTGATACTAAAGTTGGTCCTGCACAAGGCAGATTCCAAGCTGTGGTGTATCTGCAACTCCATCCCAGCATTCTTTGATCGGAATTTTGAAGGAGCCAGGCACACAATTGTCAGACGAGCAATGGCTGCAACTAAGAAGATTGCAAAATACAATAGATGGCAGGGGAGATTCCCCCATCCACACTGTTTAGTGTGGATGGGGAAATCAATAGATTCCTCTCTTTCATAACATGTCTGAATGAGAAAAATCTCAAAGTGTATTACCAGTCTTTGATGAAGTTTCAGGAGGGAGAGAGAGCCCAGGGTAGATGTCCCCAGTGTAATGATGTCTCCTAGTACTGTGGTTCTCAACCACCAGATCTTTGGCCTGCTTCCAGGCTGCAGCCTTTTTCCTCCTAGGCCCCCAGCCAGCTGCAGATCCCCTAACCTCCCACAGTGCCACCCAACCTCAGCAATGCCCCTTGCTGCACAGCCTCCAGCCCTTCATAATACCCCCAACCTTCAAAACCTACCCCACAACCTACTAAAATGCACCCAAACCCTTGCAAACCCTCCTAGCCTCCTGGAGAGACCACACCAACCCTCTCCAGTGACTCCAGCCCCCACAAGGTCCAGCTCCCTCCAGAAACCTCGTTCCATACAAGGCCTCCAAGTCTCCTGCAAAAAATCCAACCTCTGTCAGAACCCCCATCCCACAAAGTGACACCCAGCCCCATTCAGAGCCTTTCAGCATTTCAATACATTTTTTATATTCCCATCCTTTTATTGTGTGAGTATAACAATTAAGTGCCAAGTGTCAGAACCAAATGTAAGAATCTTAGCTGATACTTAATTATCACATTATTGTCAGTCTAGCTTAGTCTGTGCACATTTATTTCTGTTTGTACACTTGTTTTTAGTTTTGTGATCTGAACTTTATCTTTTTGTAGTTAGTTATATCACAAATTCCAAACTGGAAGGTGCGGAGTAAAAATGAGCAATACTCACACCTGTTGGAAAGTGTTATCTTATGTGCCAGACATATCTACAGGTCAGGGTTACACAAAGCCTACAAGTTGGAACGCTCTGAAGTTTAAACTTCAGTTGATAGTATGGTTGTTAAATGAGAGAATTATTTGCGTTCAGTAAACTACATTTTTGTACACCTATTTTATATCCAATATGCTTATCCAGCATTCAGAATATGAAATTATCTATTTATTACTACCCCTGAGGGTGTATCATGAAAGGCAGGGTTACACTACCGTGTGTCTTTAACAGCAGATTGCAGGAACAATTCCATGTGCCTGTTTGCTAACAACCCAATCACCAACTGTGCAATAAATCGAAGATTGTATGACAGATTGTAAAGGTAATGTACACTGTTGTGTACATATTTTTAAATTAAGGACTACAATAAAAATCTTTATTTTTAAACTGTTAGGTCAAAAAATACAAAATGTTACATTTTAATTATGTTTAAGGTCTCATGCACATTGCAGCTGTCAAACACCCATTTTACAGGGGTTGGACTTTTTTGTGCCCCTAAATTTCCCTCTTTGTTAGCTTATGTGTCCAAGTACACCTAGGCATATAGAGGAGTTTAGGGGCAGAAATGTGAATGCACCAAGGTCTCATTCAGGAGAGGAATGTTTGGGCAGAAAGATACACCTTACATGCCTAAATATGTGTAAAGCACATTGAGCGCTTGAACGTTTATCCATTTCAGTGGCCAGCAGAATAGATTAATATTCAGGACATAAATTTCCAAATACATTATTGTGCACTACTATCCTATGCCCAACAATTCTTCCTCTGTGCCGCAGAAATTCCTAACTTAATAATTTACATGAGTAGATGCAACTTTTACCACTTCAATGCCGGGCACTTTTACCCCCTTCCTGCCCAGGCCAATTTTTAGCTTTCAGCGCTGTCACAGTTTTAATGACAATTGCGCGGTCATGCAACACTGTACCCAAACTAAATTTATGTAATTTTGTTCACACAACTAGAACTTTCTTTTGGTGGTATTTAATCACCACTGGGTTTTTTATTTTTTGTTAAATAAACGAAAAAAGACTGAAAATTTTGAAGAAACAAGTCTCTTTGTTTCTGTTATAAAATTTTGCAAATAAATAATTGTTCTTCATAAATTTAGGTCAAAATGTACACTGCTACATTTCTTTGGTGAAAATAACCCAAATCAGTATTTATTATTAAGACTGTAGGCAGGGGTGGACTGACCATTTGGAAACTCGAGCACTGCCCGAGGGCCCGGAATCAGTAGGGGGCCCCAAGAGATGCCCCTGGTACCTTTTTCATAGGCCTTTTTTGAGTTTGGGCAAGGACCCAGGGGCCCCATGATCCCCTATTGCCCAGGGGCCCCATGAGTTGTCAGTCTGCCCCTGACTGTAGGAAAGTTATAGAGTTCACAAACTATGGGATATATCTGAAAACTTTTCAATCCTGAAGTACTGACAGCCAGTCTAATTTTTTGAGGCCCAAAAAATGTCAATTTGTTAATTAGTGTATAATTCTTAGTCTGTAGGAAAGTTATAGAGTCCACAAACTGTGGTATATACAGTATATATCTGAAAATTGATAATTCCTGTTGTACTGACAGCCTCATCTCATTTCTTGAGGTCCACAAATGTCAGGACAGTACAGCTATCCCCCATATTTCACTGCTGTGGGCATGCATTTAAATGAATGAAATTGATTCATGCAGTGTTTTTTGTTGTGATTAGCTGTGATTGGCCACAGCTAATCACATGAAACAGATGGGCTGTGATTTGTCCAACCTGTACCATGTGATTTCTGTGACCAATCACAGCTAGCAACACAATTGTATACAGTGGATAGCATGAAAGGAAGCCATCCATTGTTTACAATTGTTATGTAACCTGCTGTGATTCGTCACAGTTGTCAAATGGTACTGGCAACAGGCCAGAACACAAATCGGTCCGATGGACACAGCCAGTGATGGATCCCACTGCAGTGCAGCCCCACAGGCACATGTGAGGGGGCAATCTGGGAGGACGTCACATGACTTCCACTCAGATTGTCAAAAATTTCACTCGGCGGTCATTTTGTTATTGGCCGCGTGGGAACTGGTTAAAGACAAAGTATAAACCCATCAAATAATTCATTCTTTCTGCATACTTTGAAGAATTATTTGATGGTTTTCTAATATTCTGGACAATTAAATAAATAAACACCCAAGCAGCGCTTGACTTGTCTAAGCATGCCTACAAAAATGCAATGTGTTTTTGTCAGGGCAGGAGCTGAGGAACGGACAGGCAGGCCTGGAGGCAGGGTCACGCACTGACTGACGACAACCACCACCCACAGACTGGAGTCC